ATATTGCACGTCGAGGAAGCCGATCAACGGGCATACGATGAGCATCGCCTGGCCAAAGTAAGCGACAAAGATTCAGCAAACACTCGAGTGAGGCATCAGAAGGCTTCTTGCCAAAAACCAACTAGCGGACCTCAGCATTACTCACCCAGTTTTCCAACCAGACGTGAGCAATTCTCTGCAAGCATCGGTGTTCAAACACAGTCAAGCGTTTAATGTCTTCTTTACGAACTGGCCAGGTCTCTGGTCAATACAGCAACACCGGCCTTAACGCAGCGTTATGCACCCTGCCTTATGCTGACAGCCTGATATCCCGCCATCTCCACAGATGGTTGAGTCTCCGGAAAGCCACACAGGCCTTGCTGATACGCGAATTAGGTTTCTCAGTGATGTGACTACTAGAGGTGACACTGCTACCAAGGTAGGTGAACGGACCCACCACTTCCAGTGGTTCGGTGATAGCTAGAACCGGTGTGTCGGTCCAGTCCTGCAGCAATACCTTCCACCGCGACGAGACTTGACCTTAAGGTCGTGCGATGGTTTGTGTGTCCTAGTGATCCATTGAGCTAACCTGTGTTTTGCTTTTTGCACCTTCAGAGCCACTCATACCAGGTTGGTCAATGGTTAGAGGCCAGACAAACTCACTCTCTTGGTCCTCCAGGTTGAAGGTTTGAAATGGGATGGCGTCCATTTCCGTGAAACTAAATCATTGCCACTTCCCCGCTGCTTTGTTAAGAGGCTTTTGAGCCAAATACTTTGGTTGAGGTCCCTAATCGTCCTCTTGTCCTAGGTCTGGGAGCCTCAGCAGTATTTCTGCGCACTTACAACCATGACAATTTCCCCAAATTCTCACTACATCCTGCATCAGCCATCGTGCAGACTGTCTAGGGTCGCCGTATCTACGTCATACAGCGGGGCGGATAAGCGAAAACATTCTACTGCTGGTGCCTCCTTTCTTTCTTTTCCACATGTTTCTTTTACTCCCATCCCGACACCTATTACTAACATTCCTTCTTAATTGATAGCAATTGAAGTCCTACTGGAGTGGAATCATCTGCAGCTACCTTCCCGCACCACCCACTGGAGGCCTGTCGGAGGCAGTCCCTTATAAGGCCACTCTGTCCCGTTTCCCCGGTGGCGTTCAACGTTTGCATTCTAAGACAAATAGGTCAGCACCATGCACTCACACGTACGCTAGACACACTGGGTATTGACGTGAGTTGGGTATCCGAAACCTGGATCATGGCCGTCATTAATTGCACCCAGCTTGTCCTCTCGCTATTGGTTGCACGCAGGTTGCACGCGGTCTCTGTTCAAGCTGGGGTAAATATTGTACTCAGCTCCAACGCGTAACCATCGTTAGTTGTCTGAATTCCGGTGAACAGCAGTTTGTGTGCAGCCTGTTTGACGACCAATCAAAATTGATTCACGAAGTAGCACTAGATGCTGTTTGTTTGTGGTTTCCGCTTATGCTCCCACCGACTGCAGTTCTGATGCTGCCAAGGACCCATTCTACCAGGAAGCAAAAATGATACTACGCAGTGCTACCAGTTCAGATACCACAGTACTTGCACGGGATATGAATGCGCAAGTAAGTCGCCTGGACTTTTCAGAAACTCAGCTAATTTTGGGTGAACTTTGACCGTACGGACAACGACTAGCGTTTTTGCAACTGTGTGCAGAGCACCAGCTGTTTCTTATTAGCATTGCTTACAAACACAGTGGGCACCGAAGTGCCACTTGGCGTCCTCCTTTAACTGGCCAGCAACTGACCCAAATAGATCAGACTGCTTAAAGTCACAGGTGGCGTGATTCCATCCTGGATTGCTGCTCGTCCTTGAATATCTGCGTCGGTTTTGATCATGCCTTACTACGCTGTCGCTTTTTCATGAACTTCACCTGGACGCGCACCAAACGTCTCCCTCGATTGGCAGCTGGGAACTTATCCCAGCCCTCGATCAAGCAAACCTACCAAAATGCAATGCGTACCGAACTTCCGCTGTCTTGTCCTATTGACATTGAGTTTCACTGGAATAGTATTTTGTCGCGGTTCACGCTACAAGATCCTCTGCTTACGGCACTGTTAATCGTCACCGCTCCATTCACTGGATATCCGAGAGATTGGTGAATCTGATGGAATTCAGAAGAACCTTCCTGACTGGCTCTGAGCATAATTGGACCAGACGGACGAGTAGGCGTGAACTAAAGCGGAATCTGCTTGCTGACAAGTAAGCCTGGTGGACCAGTAAGGCCCAAGAAATGGAGGAGGCAGGAGCAGTATGCAATTACCCTAAGCTCTTCCAGCTAATCCGCACCAGTGGTGCCAGAAAACCAGGCGTCAGTGAGACAATCAGAGACAGCGCGGGTGCGCTGATACACAATAAGGAGCGCCGTATGGCTGGCTGATCAGAACGCTTTCTAGAACAGTTCGTTTGGCCCTCTGCTGCCGGACATTTTCCTACTCAGGTGATGCAGTATGAGCCATGGACGGTTAGTTTAGAGACTTCATCGCAGGCTGAGATTAGAAACGCGATCACAGCCCACAGTCGTTTTCTTGCTGCTGGCCCGGATTCCTTCGCACTAATTAAGGATAGAGGTGAGGTCCTCTGCAAAGCACTGACCTTTTTATTCGAGCATGTATGGAAGGAAGAGTGTCCCGACTAACTGGATTGAATCGATTATGGTGGCAATATGCTAGATGGGCAATCGCAGTGGCTGTGCTAACCACAGGGTTATTGGCCTAACGCCGATGGTGACAAAATGACTGGCCTCGACTGTTGTTCGTTGCTTCGCTGTAGAACAGGAATCTCGCATTAGGGAAGTGCAGGCAGGTTTTCGCCCAGTACCTTGTTTTCTATGCCATATATTCACAATGCGGCAGGTGCTAGAGCAGAGCCAGGTATACCGCAGACCGACAATAGCTGCGTTCCTCGACTTCAAGAGTGCCTTCGATTCAGCCGATCGATCGATTCTGTTCGAACTACTTGCTCGGAAAGGTGTTCCCACGAAATATGTGAACATCTTACGTGCTGCTCTATACCCGAACACTAAAGGTCGCATTAGGGCCTTCGGCGCTCTGTTGGATAGCTTTCCGACAACAAGTGGCATTCGTCAGAGTTGTCGGATTTCCGCGTTTTTGTTCATTTTCCTTGTGGACTTTATCATGGAGTGCTCCCTTACGGGATCACACGATGTCGGTGTTGAGGTCCTGCATGGTGAAAGGTTAGTTGATCTTGATTATGCGGACGATATCGTCTTTCTTTGTGACGATCCTAGGGCGGCACATTCGTCTCTAATAGCCTCTCTGGAGTGGTTCCATTATTTAATGTGCGCTTCACACCCTCACAGTGCAAAGTATTGCTGCAGGACCACGATCCACTTGATATCGAGGAACGGGAGGTGGTTGCTCGTTTCACTTACCTTGTCAGCTGCATCAGCGACAATAGGGGTATTACGACTGAAATCAGTTCACGTATGGCAAAAGCCATAACTGCCTTTTTGAAGATGCGGTATCTTTAGCAACAGAAAGGATTTTCCCTCCGTCCGAAAGGCCTCGTTTACAAGGCCAAAGTGAGGGCCGTCCTACATTATGGGATTGAGGCAGACTGTTCGGTCTGAGGACCTGAAGCACCTACAAGTCCTTGATCATGGCTGTTTACTGAGCATTGCTGGTGTCGGGTGGCTCCATCGGGTTTGCAACAATGGTGCGCGTAGGCGCGTGCTAGACAGTGATAATCATGCTAGCTCTTTAGAAGAACCGATAGCACCGAATAAATTGCGTTGGCTTAGGCACGTACTACGTACGCCTGGTCACCGCTTACTGAGGAGGGCCTTATTTCGCCAGATGTACAGTGGCGCGTGGCTCGAAGTGGATAAAAATTGACTTAGCAACGGGAAATGAAGTCACTGACGACCAAGCTGGATGCCATCGGTCCGCCTCTCCTTCCAGACTGGAGTCCACATGAGTTGCCTTGTGCTTGAGTTGAGACTTTACGGGACATGGCTCGCGGTCGACACCAGTGGCGATTCTGCTGCGTGGGTTTGTTGCTCGGTTATCTGCGGTTTGATGGCTGATTATGACGCGGCGCAGTGAAAGCCGCAAGAAGTCTTTCTCACTGATACCGCCTTATCTTTGCATGATAGCCAGCTGTTTGTGACGGTATCTTGTTTATACAAGGTGTAGGCGCCTTTACCCTAAATGTTTGCTTAGATCATTAAGGTTTTCGGGTAAGTCCCCCTCCCCCTCTTATTATTCTTCGTTCCATTGTTCGTTATTGTTATATGGCATAGAAGTATCAGTTCAAATGGCTGATGCACTGCTATTTTTTGATGTTTAATGATGCAGTTCACCTCAAGCAATACAATCCTTGGGGAGACACATACTTATTATCTCAAAGATTATTTGCACACTCGGTTAGGGGACCGTAGGCTCTTTGGTTCGTTAGAGATCCATAAGCATTGCGAATTCCTTCCAATTACCGTAGGCCCCAAACCCGCGGTTACCTTCCAGGGAGGCAGCTGATATAATTGGATATGCGACAACGATCCAATACGACGAATGCTTCGCTACGTTGCGCGCTTTTGGCATACAGATAGCAGGGTTATTTCCCTTAGATACGGCTTACTTTACTAAGTCAGTAGCCACTGATAGTCCGGTGAGTTCTGTTCCCCCCGATGCAGTAGTATCATTCATCAGAGTGGTGCGTGAGACGGTTTTCTGATATGGTGCGTCCTCTTGATGAATCCCAAGTATCCGAAGCGGTTATTCATTGTCTTTCTTTCTGCGTACTGACTGCTGCTTGTGCAGCACTCTAACTTGGATCCTTTGGAATTGGTTGAGATTTTGCTAATTTTACTCACCTTTACCTTTTGCACAGTGTAGTCATTTTCCACTGGGGCTACTGTCATTATGCATGCTTTTGTGGGACTTAGAATTATCTCCTAGGCGTTGCTCGGTCCGTACCCTGTTTATATCTTATGTTTTCCGCTTCGCATACCCCTAGGTTACGCCGGGGTTGTGCAATACGCAGGTTTGCGCATTGCGGGCATTTCCGGTATTTTCAAGCAGCACGATTATACGATGGGTCACTATGAACATCCGCCCTACTCTGAGTCCTCGAAACGCTCCGTGTATCATGTGCGAAATTTGGAAGTATTTCGTTTGGGACAGCTTCGTCATCCGGTGGATATTGTCCTCAGTCACGATTGGCCGCGTGGAATCTACCACTATGGGGACACGAAGGACCTACTTCGTCATAAGCCCCACTTTGCCGATGAAGTCAATTCCGACGCTCTGGGTAGCCCACCTGCTGAACAGCTGCTGTGCCATCTCAGACCACGATATTGGTTCTCAGCTCACCTGCATTGCAAATTTGCTGCCGTCGTTCAGCATTGCGTAAGTTGGTCGTTTCCTCACCCTTATACCTCATCTTTACCTACCGTTGCAGACGGTTCACAGTCGTCTTAAACATGACACAAAATCAGACCTATATCACAAGTATTGCTTTTGCGAGTCTGTCCATCTCTTCCTCCAAAATCCTCAATATATCTACCGGCACGCTCCATCAGTTATGAGGCACGTTTAAGGCTTTCGAAATGCCATTACGATGTATTAGCTGAGGGTTTGTGGGTTCGATTTGCTTACCTACCTCTATACATGTATCACAATTTGCAGTTAGCCCCTATCTATATTACTTCGTTTAATTGCTCGGTCCGGTCAAGCCCTATTGCTTTTGATCGGTTACAGTCACGGGACCTTCTGTTACGACCGAAGGGCTTTACCGATATCTTGGTACTTAAGTGACAAGGCAAGCATCTGCTGCCGGTGTGATATCCTTAAGTTACTACTCACCTCATGATTTTACCACTTTTCGGTCCGCTCAGGCTCTGGCCCGAACACAGAAACACTCTGGTTACAGTTGATACAACTGACTTCGCAGCGGAAAAACAGAATGCAAACACAACCTAATTTACACACACACACACACACACACACACAAACCATGAACGTTGGCAAAAGAGGGCGCGTGTGGGCAAACCAACAGTTGTTTTACGTCCAACTCATCCTACTCAGCACGCGTTTCAACTGCATTTGAGAGGTTTAGCTTGAATACACTCATGACATTGCCCGGGGACTAGACACTGGGAAGATCGGCAGGGCATTACTGCTTTAGGCATCCCCATCCATGCAAGGTTGGGGGAAAGTGTGAATGTCAGTCATATCAAAGATGTCATATGGGTCGGAACTGCCTATGTTTGACTCAGTTTAAATTTAACAGTCTTTAAAACTGAACCTCGCCTTCCTCCGTATTGAATAGTCATGCACTACAGCTACATGTAATGGTGACGCCCTGTCAGCGTTGCCATCCTGCGCAGTCTATTTTCACGTATTGAGCAGTGATTGATGGCAGTTATTCAGAAACAGGAGTTCCACAATATGTTTAACCGCAACCGTGCTACTATGGCGATACGGTACTTCGGTTACACTACTGGTATGGATCAGTAGATGAACTTGAAGCGTAGCTTCCAAGTGACTCCACATCTCTGGCGTTTTCCCACGTCGTCGCGCCGATGTCCCCATAGAGCATATCCAACGTGGCACACAGCCGCAGGCTTCGTCTGAGCGGCTATACCTGATTTCCATCTTCGCTTGTTTGTCAGGCGTTTTCTGTTCCAAATGCACCGCTGTTTGATGTGTATCTGGAAAGTGGGTGTGCGCTTGTCTTTACGTTGTTCCTCGTTGTCGGTCACAGCATTCAGTTACAACCACCGTTTGTTTGCAATCACCACCCCGGATGTCTCTATTCGTATTACTTTCATAGGCTGAAACAACAGGGCCGCGTTAAGTACTCCAACAATAGTGCGCTAAATTTCAATAGGACCATTCTCACGAGCCATCTCACTATTCGGCATCTTTCATACCATCGGATGAGTGGAGTCTTTCTGAGCGAATACCTGCGATATCGTTCAAGAAACGAATATCCCTTCCTCCCATCCACCATGCCTTGCATCATTACCTTGGGTATGGTCCACTCGGCCCCCACGAATAACAGACGATCCTTCCACTCCTGCTTTCCCAGCTTCTTATTAGCTGCCGCGACTTTCGATGCACGAGTGCACAGTCGCAGTTCATCCACATGCTCCTTGCTAGCGCACTCTCGAATCATGCCCTGTTGTATTTGCGCACCAATGTTTTCTAGGCGGAATATGTTATGTTTGCTGTACCTTTGCTTCCTACAGATATTCACTCGCTCTTTCGAAATCGATGGCTCTGGGGGGGGTTGCTTAACCGCATGTCATCTCGAAATTCCCACACGCTTTAGGCTCAAAAAACAGACTACACCCATGCAATTGACGCCAGGGAACGATTAAACGGTCATTTGATGGATTTCACTGACTGCGTCCCATAAAACATATGCCGACCATACCAGCTCGCCTATCTGCACCTTCTGATTCAGTGTAATACGCGCTTCACTAACCGCAGAGGACAGTTGGATTTTTCGCATCTACTTATTGGTTTGCGAAACCGCGTTTCATTTCATTATTTTTCCACGGTTGCACTTTATTACGATAACAGCGTAGGTTGGTACTCTATATCATACTTCTTTTGGCTGACTTGCAGGATTCTACTTCTGATCAACCTCAAATTACCAGATTTTTGGCACTTGACAAGTGCCTCGCTAGACGGGATTACCTTCAGTTTGTCGACATCGAAGCTCAGTCCGCTTCCAATCAGTTGTCTTCGTTTGGTGAGAAAGGCTCGAACAAGGAGGCTTCGGAGGAGGTAGATGATTTGTTTATAGTCAGTCGTCCATCAAGCGCATTTCCAGACTCATCGAATCTTCCACAGAATGACGAAGATAACGAAGTCGTAGTCACTAATCTCGAAGAACCAACCCAAAACTTGTTTCTCGACCCGGAATGGTTGTGTATATTGCAGTCAACTAACCACTTGATGTCTACCGCTCAAGTGCCCTGCATCTTGCCTGGTCGGAATGCACACGAAAGGTTAGCGCGCTTTGTGTGTTTTGGTGCATTTATTTGGAACTTGGCTTATGAATGTGGAGCCGCTTTTTAAATCAGCTTTTGAGTAAGGATAGATAGACTTATCTTTTCGATTCCAATGTTCTTTCTAAAACTCGTAGATAATGCCCAAAAGAATGTAACCAAATGCGGTTTCAAAGTGATTTCTTTTCGGCAACTCACACCAGCCAAATTCGTCCTTAAATCTACTCTGCCGAGTTACCAACGCAGTCTTTTAATAGTATTTTGAGAATATCTTGTTTCTTTTTGCTCTTCAGTTAGTGACATTGTGTTTCATACTCGATAAAACTGGGCTTTACCGTGATGCGGCTGCTTGTCTCCGATATTTTGAGCTATGCTGGGTGGTGCCCCGGGCCTTTTGATAGCCACTTGGGCCACATTGTTCCACGGTTACTGATTAAACAGACTCATTTTCTCAGGGCTGGAGTGACACTCATATCTACACAGCCGGATCATTGCCATATTCCCGCCCCTTCGCGACCAGGTTTGGGTGCTCTGGCAGTTTACTAGGCCACCTACAACCATGAATTCCACATAAAAACTCAAGCAATTTCTGCATTAACCGACGAATTTATCTACAACCTGCACCGGTATGGTGGTCTCTTCTCATTCTCTTCCAACTGTTTTCCCTGTTCTGTCTGTCTGATCACTTAGCTCCGATATGTGTGACAAAAATGGTTGTAATACCTTCCTACTTTTCAAGGGCACATGTAACAACAATTTTCGGGGTAATTTCGATTCCATTTATTTCAATAGACTGGCGGTTCATTATAATAAATTTCCTTCGTTCGGATGGAGAGGCCATACCTCTCTCCCCCACCTGCTCTCCGTTACCAACCCCTTACCACATGTGTGGCCTTCAAATTTGGCTGTACTCTGGTTCATCTTTTAATGGATTACTTACATGCTTCCGACGGTCCACTTTAATAACCTCTTGTTTTACTCACCTGTTGTCTTTTATACTATCAGTGCCATGATGATTTATGTCCATGATGTTTTAAAATCGTTATGTATTTCCGCTCAAGGCAACAACGCACTTCGATCTGTCATAAAGTGAGGAAACTCCATACGAATACCGGAAAAATCCTGCGAAAATGCATCGTGCTGCTTGAAAGGTTGCTCTCTATAAACAGCACAACAAGCGAGAGTATTCCCGCTTTTCTTTTTTTTCATTGTCTGCTCGCTTCTGGGACAATTTAGTATCTTACGAGCATTATCAGGTGTCGTGAACACGCACAGCTAGGAATCATAATATGGCAGAAAACCTGGCTCCATAAACAAAACAAAACAACAATAGCAGTATATCAGCCATTTGAACTGACGCTTCGCTGCCGTACAACCATGGTGATCAACGGAACGAAAAATTATAACAGAATGGGTGGGTGACCTTGATGTCCTAAGTAAACATTCGGGTGCCTGCATCTTGTGTCAACAACGTACCCTCACAGACAGCTGTCTATCGAGCAAATATAAGGCGGCATCAGCGAGACAGATCCCTTACAGTTTTTACTGTCCCGTGTCATAATCAGCCATTAACTCGCAGATAACTCGTCACCAAGCACACTTCAAGCAGGTAGTCCGACTAGGAGACGGTACCTAACGCGCCCCTGGTGCCGACTGTGAGTCATGCCCTGTAACGTCTCGAGCCAAGCACAAGGCGGCTCACGTGGACTCGAGCTCGGTAGGCGAGACGGGTCGATGGCACTAAGTTTAGTCGTCGTTGCCCTCATTTCCCGCTGCCAGCATAACGTTTGCCCACCTCGGGCCTTGCGCCACCCTTCTCCTGACAGACAAAGTAAGGTCCTCCTCGATAAGCGGTGACCAGGCGTACATAGTACGTGCCCGAGCCAGCGCCACTTATTCAGTGCTATCTTTTGTTCTAAGGAACTAGCACGACTATCACTGCCTCGCACCAGCATACGCACTTCATCGCTACGGTCACGCTGGTGCCACTCGACACCAGTAATGGTCTGCAGACAGCAATGATCAAAGACTTACAAGCGCTTCAGATACTCAGACCGAAGTGGCCAAGTCTCATTCCCTTAGAGTAAGACGACCCTCACTTTGGCCTTTCAGCCAAAGGGAAACTCCATTATGTTGCCATAGATGTCGCAGGTACAAACAGACATTTCTGGATGTCGCAGTATGTGAATTGACTTCAGTTTCTATGCGCCCATCGTTGCTGATGCTGCTGCTATCAAGGATAAAGAGCCGTCAAACTTTACGAAGCACATGCCGAATGACGGAACCAATCTAGAGAAGTTAGAGTTACTAGAACAAAAGACCATCTGGTGAGCAATTGCTTTCAATGATTCATCGTCAGACCATTACAATCATATAGAGGCTAGAAAGAGAAATCGACCCAGTTAGTTCAAAACGAAATGATCACGTGAAGGTCAATGTCAGAGTGGAAAAAAGGGATTAGGTCTTAGAGGGCTAGATGTTCGCTACCGCGTCTGACCGAAGGCAGTCGACCTGGGCGTCTTCCATCTTCGCTGGCCAGGGAAGCTGGAGAGCCTGGACCAGCTTTTTCTGTGAGCATAAGGACGGCTGGAACAATCGAATGCATATTGCTTCAGCTGTCGCAAGCATACGAAGGCGGTAACCTTTCGTTCGGTGCGGTAAAACCTTGTAAACTATTCGGAAAGCGCGTTTCCAATCCACTTCATGGCCGGTGTCCACAATGTGAGCCAGAATGGCGCTACTAATGGTTCCGATGCCCCCTTGACGAAGCCAGCGAGGGCAATGTTCGTTCACTCGTTTCGATAACTGCCGCGCCGTTCGACCAATATACGTCGCGCCACAGGCGCACACGAATTGATAAATCACCATTGATGTGGTCAGCATCGGCAGCTTGTCCTTGTTTTGTGAACGAATGAATGGTTCCGTTGAGAACGCGCACTTCAACGAGGCCGCTGGAAAGGTCGACTTTACCGCGGCCGAAAGGCTTCTGGTTAGACGCTCGGTAGCCGCGTCCCCTTGGGCTGTCACATCATTGAAAGCAGGACAATATCGTTCACATAACCAGGATCAGCTAGCTTTTCACTAGGCAGTATCTCAGCGCCTTCTTCGTGAGATTTCGCAAAGGAGTACTCCACGACGCTCTCCAGAACAAAGTTAAACTTAGCAAAGAGGAAGAAATTGGTGTGATTTGCAAGCTCTGCTGCCGGAACTGCGTCAAATACTACGTGGGACAGACTGGAACAAAGCTTGACACAAGGCTACACGAACACAGCCTAGCCATTCGTCGCCACGATCAGTGCATATGGATGCCGAAAACCATCAATTCGATCTAAAGCACGCCAGTATCCTCAGAAGGGCTAAAAGCCGGCAAGCACGTGAGTTCATTGAAGCCTGGCATTCAAAACAGAACTCGATCAGTAAGCACTTGGACATTGAGGTCGCTTGCGAGACACTGCGAACCAGGCCCCTTAAGCCGCACTGATGATGTTGCCTAGTCAGGCAACGAAACGTCTGCACAATAATCACTCAGCTCGGGGGACAGCTCAAAATCCACATCCACACCCCGAGCTACGGATATTCTCATTTATTTCAGAAAGTGGAGAAATTGGATAACTGTGACGAACGCCGCATATTACTGGAAACAAATCTGATAAGTCACCGTTTAGATGTTGAAGACGCTGTTGTAGCAATGGTCGTTTTTATTTGCTTTCTTGCAGACCTCACATTGTGAAGGCGGTGTGATAACTTTTGATAACGCTTAATGGGGCATATAACTGAAATGCTTGTTCTGCTATTCGTCAAAATGTATCGACTGCTTAGTTTCTAGTGTATACCACTCCTTTTTACTGGACTATATGTATACACACCTGGTTGTTTTTACTCAGAAGCAGACAAATTTACGATGACTTTGGGGCTGCCATCACTGAGCAAATCGACTATTTTCTCTGCTAACGTTTGCGTAGATTTGTCACTACATTATAACTCAGAGTACAGAATATGGTAATATGTTCTATTATGTTAGAAACAATCCTGGGCTTTTTATTTATTAATTATCTGAACTTATTTTCGGTCCGGAATTGGACGCCACTTGGCAGCTCCGATCATTCTGTAGTCCAGTTATTTGCTGTTGTTTACAGTAAGACGAACCACAGGGTTGTCACTCGCTGCAATGACCATAGCCTGAAAGCGCAACTGACCTTAATGGTTACATCCACAGGCTGCATCTTGTTATCCGAAACATACTGTGGCCAAATGTCAAGTTATCTGAACTTCTGTTATGATCTTTGCTGTCCGTTAGGAACCGTTTAAACCCGTGCCGACAGGTTTTCCTCAATCCTCAAACTGTATTCTATACACAGGAAAGTTTACAAAAACAGATCCATGTCTAATGAATTTCCTTCCCGCTCATATTACGGAAGTAGTACACCACTTCAATCATGTCGATGTCCAGACATTTCTGGTAAGCAATAGTTGCCGTGAGATTTGGCATATGGTAGAACAACTGGGCTGAGTCAATCGGCATGGTATAAAATCTGCGATAGACGTAAAAGAATTAACTCGCAGTTGCTGCTGCACTCATCTACTGCATAATTTCACCGATCTATCGATTCACCGGTTGCTGTAGACGTTGCACCACTGCACAACAAACTAACCCAGCTGTACTCAAGTAAGGCAAGCGGAGCTGACTAATTGTCCCCCATCGTCATCAAGGAGTGTGTCGCTTCCTTAGCGCAGCCTCTGGCTGAGTTATACATAATGTAATAGAATGAATCAGAGTGAGTCATATACTGTGTAAAGAATACTTTTCCGTATCTGTCATCGGTTTCAAATTTTACAACCTGGATGTGCTGAATAGGGCTGCTTATTAACTCGAAATTTGCTTCTGATGGAAATGAATCGATAAACCACGCGGTCACTGAAGGTAACAGATTAAGTACCGTGGCAAATCAGTTCTGTAACCAGTGATTAACTGGGTCACAAAGCACAGGATTGTGCGACGG